TTTGTAATTTATCGCCATAGCACATAAATGAGATTTCAGTTCGGGTAATGTGAGTGTATCTACAGTCAAACAGTCAAAGCTCGTTATAGTGAATTCAGTTCCAGTCACAATAATGAGATTTGATTAAGAGTTCACTATAACGAGCGAAATTTTATTATGAAATTGATGTCCTAATTTATTAAATTTTTATACGGGAGAATTTAAATAAATGACTCACTTTGACATAAAAATTCAAATGATCAAAATTTTATTAAACATTTAATTAACAAACATTTGCGTTGATTCAAAATAAATAAAATAAAAATAAATACATGTTAAAATTTCATAAGTCGCAATATATTGGATAATAATTAAAGTCATTGCATGAGAAAATTTCCAAATTACTACTTTATATAAAATTCCCAGATAAAATCTATATAAACATATTGGAAACCAGTTAATTATAAAACACCATTATCAAAAAAAGGAATGTGAAATATGAAATATTATACTAAAGTGTTTATTAATGAAAAAAGGGAAATATGAAGGTCGAACACTAAATAAATGTAATAAAGTGTAATATGTTTGTGATAAATTAAAAACTCTTTCTGTGAATAATGTCGCGATCTTCCTGAAATTCTTCAGCCGAAACCCACATCTATTAAAAATAATATCATCGTAAGTTGTTTACTCGTGAAAAAAAAAGTCGTCGTTGTAAATAGAAACCTTTTTTTTTTTTAAAAAAAAAAACGCATACCTTTTTAAATGTACTCAAGGCTGCCAATATAGAACCACCAATCCATGTACTATATTTCCTTTCTGGTGGTGCAAAAATCTTAATCTTAATGTCCTTGACTGCCAATTTTCTTATTTCACTCAACAACCTAGTACCGAAATCTTTATGAAACAAAAGAGATTAATTTCACGTTTAAATATATCAAGAGTAAAAACATTTTTCTCCCACTACAAATAAAAAAAAAGTTACCTTTATAAAGTGTCGAACCACCGGATAAGACAACATTGGCAAACAAAATTTTCCTTAAATCTAGATCTGTTCGATTAATTGAATCGAAGACAACTTGATGAATACCGGCATACTCAAGTCCGATCAATTCAGGATTAAATAGAATTTCTGGAGCCTTGAACCTTTCAGAACCCAACTATTAAATAATTAAAATATGTGAACAATTGATAAGAAATCTCAATTTAAACATACGAAGTAAATTCCTTTACCTTGTCAACATTTCCATCGGGCAAAGTAAAGTCATCGTATTTTCCATTCGTATCCTTTTCTTCCTTAATTGGAAATAATGCAATATAACAAGTCTTCTCTTTGATAATACGGATAACTTCTTTTTCAGCAGTTGTTGTAAATTTATAACCTGATATACGAAGAAGCAACTGCAAATATTCTGTGACATCCCTATAAATACGAGAATGGTTTAAATTTAATATTAAAATTTTTTAAAGATAACGTAGGATATCTTAGACATATACCTTCCGGCGATATCGACTCGACGAATAGCGTACGGCGTGAGTTACACCATCACTGAATCGAGAACGATACCTGTGGTTCGTCTAGATGAATAACTAAGCGGTAAGAATGAACAAATAACAATTACATCTTAATTTCAAATACTTTCTAATGATCGATTCATTATCATCATGCTTACAGACTCAACACTGCTTGAATCGATGCGAATAAAGCTGGAACATTAAATGTCTCAAAAAACATTTGTGCAGCCTGTTCTCTATTAGTTCTAGGGTAAGTGGTGCCTCAGTCAAAAGTACTGGATGCTATTAAGAGAGAATAATCTTATCATGATTAATAGCAATAAAAGAGGTTTATTGAAAGCGTGTATGTTTTTATACATACCTTGTCGGACGCAGTTTTTAATTCTTCCTCGTAAATATATTTCCATATACGTTCCATATCATCCCAATCAGACACAATACCATGCTCAATAGGTATCTTATTTTGAGAAGGCCTCGTAATTCTTGAGCTTTACGCCCAATAAAGAGATCACCTTCAACCGCACCGGCCATGATACGAACGTGTTTAGGTCGTCCAACGCTA